TAAAACAACATGAAATAGAAAAGAGAAAAAAAAAGTGATCTAAATTATATATGCACCTTGTTATTACAGGGTTACAGTTTGTCGAAGACTTGAGTGAAAAAGAGAGTATGGCAACTTATATGGCAATCTTGCGATTGCCACGTGCGTGCTATCAAAGCACAACTACAATAGGTTGCTTAGTACTGACTTTTGTAATTTGTGTACTTCAAATAAACAGCACTTCACAGTCCCATATCATATAAAGGAATACGCGAATCAGGTCAGTCAATGTGAAGTTTCTTCTCATTTTATTGTGTAAATTGGATAACACGTACAGACTCACGGAGTTAATTTCAAGCAAAAAACAAAACAACTTACAAAATGGTTCGCATCTGAGGGATTTCTTGTGTTCCGTCGATTTCTGTCCTCTCTCACACTTGTGTATGTCCGCTTCATTTTTCCTTGACTCGAAAGGGATGAGGAATATTTGCATTTTGAGTTCGTTTTCTAACATCTATTCTGTTGTGTTTAGGAGCAATTCACAGTCTGCGAGGGCAAGTCTGTTTTTCAGGTAATACGATTTGGCCCTTTTGTTTCATGTTTGTTTATTTTTTTCTATGACCGTTGAAAATATCTACTGCATGACGCTGCTTTCTTGGATCTCGAGGCTGATGTATTTTTGAGGTACTGAACCAAAGACATCTGATTATTCAATAGTGAGATTAAGATTCACGTTTACGCCAAACGGCAAACGTGAATTTGTACCACGTGACCAAGTTTTCCCCTCAATTGTCGTTTACTGTTTATTACTTCTACACAAAAATAAGGAGTTTCACGCCAGTTTTATCCGAAGAATTGTTCTGGACAGTTTTATCTGCTTATTTTCTATTCTGAGAAATTCTCAACGTGAATCTAACGTTTGCCGTAAGCGTGAATCTTTCTCTCTCTAATCTCTCAAACGACCAGGGTGAAACGGGAGACCAGGGGAAAAGGGAATTATTTTTAGTCAGATTTGTTAAATCACTTTTGGTAATCTTTATACTCCCTGAAAAGGTCTGGCAACTTATATTTTCACTTGATTCGACGTTGGCTTTGATTTCTTTCCATACACGTTCCTCCTTTGCGACAATAACTTTCACATGAAACTTACTACCTGCACCACCACCTCTTCCTTGAATGTCCAAATGCTTTTACAGTGACTCTCAGTCCAAATGCAGTTTCATTTCCTTTCACTCACTTTGCATTGAGTCCGCAGTCTTGTCATTCGTTATATCTTTAGTTTATATTTTTACGCCAACTGATGAGGAATATGAATTGCTATTTTAACAGAAGAGGAGCCTCATAAGGAGGTACGTGTCAAGTGGACCCGGCTGAGTGGAGTGCTGAAAATGAACCCATTAGATAGCACCGCCATTCCCAGACCTCCCTCTGCCGCTGCACAACAGAATGGCGCCACACACAAAGTTAACGAGTACTGCATCGTTTTTGTGGGTTTTAACCTTCAGGAACAGAACTTGAGAGATTGGCTTAAAACGTGCTGTAAACCGGTATGTGATTGAATGTCTTGGTATTTTTAACATGAACAACCACTGAACCAGCTCGTTTTAATTTCTTCTAAGTAACGAATTGATGAAGTTGTCCACCAACCCTGAATAGTCTCAAGTCCAATTCCAAGTGATGGGCTCTGATACTTGTTTGGCTGACGTTTGTGTTGCAATAATTTTTAGGCCCCCAAGAAGCAGAAGTTGAAAACGCGCAAGGATCTGTCGGACAAAGAGGTTTCAGAAATAAACGTAAGTACCCAGTAGGTCGGATTACTTTACTTTTCTCTGCACGTAAGTATTTGGTGGAATTCAGAAGGATCATTCGCGATCCATGGCGACGCTGGTTCGTTAAATCCGGGACCTCTGAGAAGAAGATTCCTTCCTGAAAGGCTCTTAACACCAATTTTGGTGCTTGTCGTACGTGGCTTCGCATGTAAGGATGGTTCAGTTCAACCAGCACGAAGTGTATTGTTCGTGGTTTTCTACTATACGTTAGGATATTGCGTCTTTACGACTGAAGCCTAGTATTAAAACAACGATAATGTCATTAGTATTGACAACGATAAATTATAAAGAAGCGATAAAAGGTTTTCCTTCTTCTTACTTTTTGTCATGCTCCTGCTTTGCTCTTGTTCTGTGGTTTACTAAAATAGGTTTCTTGTATTTGATCCTGTTTAGAAGCGGTTTTAATTTCGTTACTGGAATATTTAAGTGTAACACAGAGAAAAAGACACTCAAGAAAAGAAAAATAGCTGTAGACCAAGAAGTCGTGGAAGAAGTAAAATGGACCTTGCTTCTCGGTTTTCCTTTAATACGCTTTTGGTTGGTTGTAAATTTCCCACCTCTTTCAGAGATTGTCGTAGGCGTTTTTGCTGCCTCGCCGCGCCCGAGCCTTTATTTTTTATGGCACTGATTAACACTTTGAGTATTAGTACGACTGTTATGAGATAAGTGATCGCGGGTGTTTTGGTTTTCCCAGGCTAAACACAGATTGGATCCTTTGCCACCAGGCTGGTTCTACAATGGCTCTAATTACGTCAGTCTTACAGGAGAGAAGGAGTTTCACCATCCACGTATCCTCTGCATGTCGCATTATTTATTATGCTTATTCTTCTTCATTAATACCAATCACTTCTTTTTCTTGAAAATATAGTGCATGCGTTGTTTCCTTGTTGAGAAAATGCTAAATCGATAAAAGTTGAATTGTTACACTAGATAATGGCATCTCAGTTTCAGCTCAAAAGAAGAACCTTCCCCGCACTTCTCATTTCTCTAAAACAATAAATCAAACTGCACTAATCGATTAATCAAGACGGCTTGTAAGAAACAGTGGAGATTTCAGCGTTAGTTGTTTTCCTTAACTTGCAGTTAGTGCTTGATTCATTTTTAGACAGTTATCTGTTAAATATCAACGAGAATATAGAGAAACAAAACATAGAGGCCAACAATCGACAAGCAGTGGATATCTTTACGAGGCCCAGTAGCGGCTCATGAGCAACAAAAATCAAAAATGGAGGACATACTTTTGTGGTTATCATGTCCAGCCGCCGGCCGATTCCAGGCGTTCCGATAGGGGAAAGTTAAGTGTTAACGATATCGCTTTATTAAAGCGAACGACGATAGTGTATCATGTCATCTAATCTGTTTTCATTTCAAAGATATAAAAGCATTTAAAATTAAGTTATATTGGTGTGTAAATCGTGTGAATTGAGATTTTGTGGCGCATATGTTAAGAGAAAACTCGTAAAATTCGAGACTGTTTTCGGTAGTTTTCTTCGCTCTTTTGAGAAAGTATTCAGTATTTTTTTAATATTTGTCGTTGTAAAAAGATGACGTTTTGCATTTGTACGTTTGTATGTTTAACACTTTCTAGTATCAGAACGGCCGCAGAAGTAGAGTCATTAACTGGCATTGTTTTCAGTGATTTCATTCACAATTATTAACAACACTCAACTTTCGCGCTCATATGCGTAGTTAAGGTGTCCAATGCTAATGTAAAGATCCAACCCAAAACTCTTTGCATTTTCCTTGGCTCTATTCTTGAAGACGGGATGAGTAATTAACCTGGAAAAAGATCACAAGATTCGTCTTCTTTTCCAGCCTTGTTTTTCTTGCCTTCAATTTTATTTATTTGATATCCCCTTAAAGTTTACAGCTCAAAAATAGTTCTCCTTATTTGTCTCTTAGAACTAAAAGTTGTAAATTAAGACAGTGTGAGTTATTTATTAAACGGTTGTCAACTGACAAGTGCTCTTCTTGGTGCCCATCTCAGCTTGTCACTTTTAAAGAGAATAAACTTCTTGTTTTACACAACAGTCGTTTCGCAAATTACAAAAAGCCGTACTATTTTTGGGAAGGTGTTGCCAAGTCTTATAAAATGTGGAAGCAATTTTGTAAAGTGTATGTACTTCAACTTTGGCCGGGGTGGGGGGAGTACTTTATCGGTGAAGAAAAGACTATTAGTAAAATCCAACTAGTGGTCTATTATCAATGCTGTGTTCTGATTGGTATAGCCCACTAGTAGCGATAAGCGCCGGCTTTTTGGCGGCCAAAAACGGTTAAAGTCCAGCTTTAACCAGCTAAAATTTTTTGATTCTTGATATTTTTGACCAACTAGTTTTACTAAAACAATTATTCCTCTCGCCCTCATGGCCTCTGTTTCCGTTTTCATATCCCACATCCTATTAAATTCAATTTCCAAATCTTTATGCCTGGACAACTTCTCTATGAATTTTGCTGAGGTGTCACTTTCAGATGGAACTGCCATGTCAATGAGCATGCACCTTCTTTCTTTCTTGTCCTCGACCACAATGTCAGGTCTGTTGGCTTTTATTTCCCTGAAGTGTGTGCACAGGCATATCCCAAAGTATTGTGACCTCGCTGTTACTGTTGTTGGCTGGTGTTTATACTACTTCTCAGTGGCTCGATTTCACAACCTCTGCAGATCTTGCGATGAATGTATGCTGCTGTCTTGTTATGCAGATAAATTTACACTGTTTTCGCTAATACCGGGTACCCCTAGACAATGTTATCAATCCACTATTATCAATCGACGTTTATTAGTTATGCGCATGCGTTGAGTCCTGTACAAAGAGTCCTTGGTCACTTCCTGTGGGACCCAGGTCCCATTGATGTGATAAAATGATTTTGTTACTTTAATTTGCCTGTAACACTGATCTCGGCCCGAAGAAATTGGTTGCATGATCAATAAATGACAATTTTGTGCTGCCAAACTAGTCAAAAGTGCAAATTTTGTTAGCAGTGCCTTTTTTGGAAACTAAAGTAGATGAAAATTTAAGCTCTTGATGACGAATTATGGCAAAAATTATACTCACACAATCTATCAAAGCCTACTGGCATATACGAGATTTGAGTACATAGTAAACAGAAAATGATAGGCTACTAAAAACATAAATGTCACTGATTGAATTCATCACGTCTATTTATATCACGGGGTTCTAATGTTATAGCTTTGTCAATGAGGTGAGCTTCGCGCGCCTTTCTAACAGAGTCACGGTTGCTATGGATTAATTCTGGGGGAATAAGAAGGACGACGTTGATAGAGTGATCGGCTTGATTAAAATGCTCGGAGACGAGTAGAATAAGGAAAGTGGCCATTCTTGGCTTGCAACCACGTGACAAGGCGGCCATACTGGTGGTGCGTTGGTGGTCAATACAATAGAATTTTTTTCTCGAAGAATTTGCATGAAAATAGAGTTTAGCTACCGGAGGAGATAAACGCTTTTGTTCTTAACCCTAACAGGCAACCAACATATGACCGCCGTGACGTCACGTGCAAACCAGTCATAGTTGAGAATGGAGCGGCGATGCTCTCCAAAACGTTCGTGGAGATGGTCTCCCCAATGTATTGTCTGCAGCATTTTTCGTCGAGCTTGCTTTAGCAGAGCGAGACTCGAAAAATGCAGGCGTTTCTTTCCTTTGTGTGTGTGTGTGTGTGTGTGTGGGCCATGCTCCCAGGCGTTCCTAGCGGAGACCGTGGAAACTGGGGATAAGAATTGTGACGACTTTCATTGTATGCAAATGAGTCTCGTGATGAGCATGCGATTTATTTTGGGCGATGACTGAAATGACGATTAAGTTGATCACGTTTTGGATGTTTGGCAATGATGTAATTTCGCCCGAATCGAGTCCCTTGATTTTCGTGTAATTATGCACTCGTATTAAAAAGTACATAACCTGAAGAATACTGGCCCGTCGTTAATGTAGGATGAGAAAATATTATAGCGGGGAAATCCTGTTTTGTGGTGTATTGAGCAGAATATTGTCGCAATTACTGGAACCCTACGGTTAGATAGATTCACTTTGTTCTATGTATGTTTAGCGGGTGATGTGCCTCGTTTCTCTGGTGGAGGTTAACCTTTAGTTGGATGGGATGGCCTTGCTTTAAAAACGAACAGGTAAGGCAGCGCGGATGATTGCATTTTAAAACGTCAAGAGATGGTTTTTCTTGTATGCTAAAATCACGTAACGTGCTTCTAACTAGTACTTCAAAAAGGATGGGGCTCCTTTTATAGGCAACGATGGGTGGAGACGGACATGTTTGTTTGCAGCGATTGGATGATTGAAGAATGTTTATATTTTTTCGGACGGTGGTGGAAACATTAGGAAGAGCTGGATTATGCGTGATGACAAAGGCAAAGGGAGTTCGGTTTGACTTTTTGTTCTGTGGTCGTGCTTTCAGAGTTTCTTGACGTGGGATGGAGCGTACCCGGTTACTTTCCTTTTTAAGGGTTTCAGCAGCACAGCCCAGTTGGGGCTGTGCTGCTGAAACCCTTCGATTCTGACCCTGTTTAAGGCAAAATGCATTAAGATTGCAACCCTGTTTAAACGCTAAATAGTGAAATTGAACACTTTTTTTAAGATTGAAAATCCCATAAACCTATATTATGCATACCGAGTGAACCAAACATGGAAGCCCCCCATCCCCGTCTCCCCGCTGAGCACTTGCGTCCATCTGTAAACTCCCAAGGCGGAACAATTAGGGGGAAACCATTTTTTCATATATAAAGGCGAAGAATCATGCATTTGTTAATGACGACATATCGTCAAGACATCATGGCTAATTTCGGTTGCGTGCGTGACAGATCTACTGTGTAGTTTTGATGCTAAAGAACAATTTCACTACATTATCGTTCAAAAGTAATACTAAATTTTCAGTGATTCTTATATAAATCACATGTATACGGATGCCCATAAGGTACAAACAGCGTTTTTATTTTACTGCTTCTTTTACTGCCACTTTTAGTACCACTTGCGAGTTCAGGTATCTGATTATGGCGGCGGGTAGCAAACGAGGTAACCTTGAGAAGGTAGGCTTTTGAATATTTATTTATGATAATATGCTTATAAATATTAAAGAAAAGAGTGAACTGAGCGCAGTCGAACAGTTGCTCTACATTTTTTAACCATGCAAAGCTATTATTTTGTTTTTCACATAAAACCTCACATTTAAGCTTATTGTTCACGAGTTAACTGTTCGTGCAAGCTAAATCAAACCATGCTGCTAATGGTTTTCACATAAATACCCCTCGATTATCGTACACTGATTGCTTTAATAATAATAGCAACTTTATTAACTGTTGTAAAAAAAACTGCAGTATGGTAATTATAGTTTCTCGCCATATACATACATGAAGTTCTTAAACTAAAAGCAAAGGAGTTAGTTGAAAAAAATTTCCATATGCATATATATATAAACTCATTGTAAAACATATCCATGACAAAACCATCCATTATACCTATCAGCTTCTATCAGCCTCTAAAATTAAAAAAAGTTTCTTTAAAATGTTTCTAAAAAGAGAAAGATTAATTCGGGCAAGCTCTAACGTTTTCGATCTGTAAATCTGAGTCAACCAAGTCTAGCTGTGGTCTTCTGGATCTTGAGCCTCTCAAGCATGGTATCGCAGAGCGTATGACCGCGAAAGATACTTCAGCTCTTATCCAGGAAATTGCTCTTGAGTAACTTGATTGCATCTCTAAATTCCTTCTTATTCAGTTTGTTCACTTATTGCTTATTGTTCGTAAGAATGGATCATGAAATCCTTTTGCTTTTGGTTGATGGATGTTTTTTTTTGGATAAATAATAGCCCGAATGAACACAGGCTTTTATTGGTATATTGGAGCTAACTTGGGGAAGATGTGCTTTCTTCATGTCCTTCAGGGTTTAACTAATACTTTATCCTCGAGACACGATTTGCGAAACGAAACCGCCAAAGGAAACGAAACAAACCAAAAACGAAACCAAGCTGATAATTTACGGCAATTAAATAAGCATAATAGTTACTACGGTCTTCTTCATCCATTGAGCGTTGAAAGTCGCTCACGCCTGGAAAACACTTCAAAGTCTACCCACAATTTTTCGCAGACCATACCGATGTTTTTCAATCGCCCTAAAAGTGATTTTATCCTTGTCCGATCCTCACAAATTTTCCCCAGTGATTAACCATGAATTGAAGTTTGTCAAAATGCAGTTTCTAGTAAAATCCGAATTTCGTGCGATCTAGAGCTGCTACTGAAAAATCCGACACCAGGAACTTAAAGTGTGGTATTTCGCAAATAACCTCCGTGAGAAGTAAAAAATTCTGTATGTTTGAATTCAAATAAAACGTAAGGGCTAACGTAAATATATTTCAAACCTTATATTTTTCAATAGCCGTGATAAATTGTTTAATTAAAAAGTTCTAAATGACTCAAATTAATCTTAAGTAGCGTCAGGGAAATTTTGGTTTATTTCCTTTCTTGCGATCCTGAAAACTAACCTATTTTCTCACCACTTGTCTGAGTGTAACTTTATTCTAAATTGTGGCTTTTAGCGCTTTTCGGTATATCTCTAAAACGGCTCGACAGAATTCTTTTTAAACCTTATCACATAATCCTCATGATGTATATAATAATATCTAAAACTTTCATTAAGATTGATTCACTGCAACACCTTGAAATTTCAAGACGAATCTAGCCTACGAAACGACCAAAAATCCGCGTTTCAACATGTAGTGTTTAGACGTTATGCTAATTTTTCCAAATTAATGCCCACAATACATACCTTCATGGCTAGAACATTTCAATGTGAGCATTGACAATGTTTTACATTCAAAATATGCAATGAAAGTCATACTAAAATGTACTAGCCATAGAGGTATGGTCCCCGAGAAACTATCGAAACACCTTTTAAAGAGAAGCCTTGGAAGAGAATAATCATCATGACGACCAACTTTGACATGTTTGAATCATTTGGGGCTTTTTGTTTACAGGTATATTTTCATTTAATATAGTTTTTTTGCGCAGAATTTTTTGATGCTACGTTTGTGAACGTTTTAAAGGGTCACCCAACGACGGTTTCCTCCTAATACATTGAAACAGTTTTTAGGCTATCCAGAGTACTGTTAGATCACTACGAATGTATTCTAAGCGGGACTATAAAGTTTGGACCTGCTCTCGTCCCAACTTTCTCGATGAACTCGCGCAAAAACGCTTGCTACGCAGGCTAGGACCTGTTCGGTCATCCTTGGGGGATCCGGAAAAATAAGACCTAAGACTTAAAGACTCGAAAAACTAAGCCTTGGAAACTGAGAGCAATGAGTATGACTTCCCGCCATTTAGTGCGAGATGGATCGGGCGAAAAGTCCGATAGAATGCGGCCGGGGTTTCTAGGCTACAAAAACGTTCCACAAACGTAACATCAAACAAATTCTGTGAAAACCTATGCTAAATGAAAAAATGCCTGTCAACAAATACCCCGAAATAATTCAAACATGTCAAAGGTGGGGTCATGATGTTTATTCTCTTCCCGGGATTCATTTAAGATCCAAAACTGTGGGTATTAGACTTTGAAGTATTTTCCGGGTGTGAGCGACTATGAAGGAGACCGCAGTAATCATTATGCTTATTTAACTGCCGTAACTATCAGCCTGTTGATGTTTTTGTTTTTGTTTTTTGTTGTTTTCGTTTTGTTTCGTTTCGATTTAGCGGTCTCGTTTCGTTTCGCAAATTTCGTTTCGTTTCGTTTTGTTTTGGTTTCGTTTCGCAAAGTACAATAAGCATTCAATTGTATCGCTCCCAAAATAAGCTTATATCAAGTTACCATACTGACAGTAGTCGGAGGTATATACTCTCTTTCTTCAGGGCTTAAATTATGTTAATTCATAATATTCAAACAGTGTTACTGTATATTTTTCATTTTACTGCAGGTTTGTAATTTCTTACGTACATGAGGAGTGGGAGAGGACGTTTTTGATAATTTTGAATATGAAAAGGTAAGTTTTTAAGCTGGTTTAATATAAGAGGCAAACTGTAACCTTGAGGTGGAAGTTCATGTTTTTGGACTTTGGAGGAACCAGAAGCCAGGTTACTCGGCTGGTGAGCAAAACAAACAGACTGTAGCTGTTTCTTAATTTGCAAGGCTTTAAAAAAATAACAATGCCAGTGCAAAGAGGAAATTCACAAATTTAAGTAGAATGGGCATTATATCAGTACTGCAAAGGTGTCTTGACTACTAATCCACAAACATATGTAGATTTGTCATTGATAAATGTGTTTGGTAAATTTATTAATGCCTGCATGGTCACTACATCGTATATACTGCCGGGTAATTGTGTGCTTTCCTTTGGCAAAACTGATATAGATTTTGTATGATATCATTAATTACTGAATTGTCCAAACTCATTAATTCCTGTGATTTACCCATTTTTCAAGCAGTTTTCCAAACTATACACAAACTTATCGACCGAAGTTTTCATGCTAAAGAACAATTTCACTACTTACTGTATCGTTCAAGAAAAACCAACTAAATTTTAAGTGATTTTGATATAAGTCACATGTATGTATTAGATTCATGCGTGTTGATTTTATACAAATCGATAGTTTCTATTTTTCCATTTATTCAACAGGCATGATCTGTAACATGTAAAAGGTGAAACGTGATCTATGACGTCAAAAAATTATTTCGTAGAAAACAACAGAACGACTAGTGTCATGATCTCAAAGATCGTGTGAATTATGAGGAATTACTGGAAAATAATAGATTTTTTCCCGAGTTTCATATGTTCATATGCAAATGTCATTCAGGATCAGTGTTCATGCAAGCATTTCGGCATAATTACTGTTAAATGAACTGAAAACCGATCAAGTGGCCAAAAAGTGAGAGGTGAGTTTTTCTGAATTCGACGTTATTATTCGATGTTATTAGGATACAAGAGCGCCTCTGCCTGTTTTGTAAGGAATGCGACTGAAAATTGTGGCCGAAAATGATATTTTGATGCTGGGGCTTGTTGCAATTACTTTGAGTACGAGATAAATGGATAACTTAAGGACTGTGACTCATAAAGCAATCTACCTTTTTTACACATTTTTATCATCTCTCGTTTGAAAGTTCAAGCGCTTTGACAATATACTAGACTCGCCGAAAAGCGTTGCCGGCCTTTGCGTCACATAGAAGGTGGAATGTGTAACCGTAAATGAGGGTAAATCTGTTAAAGAATATCTGTAGACAACAGTATCGAGAGTGATTATTTGTTTTGTCGGAAGCCCTTTCACGATAACCTAGACTAACCAGAATTATTGTACTACATGAAAACGATAAGTTAATCAGAACAGACAGCGAACAGCTTTTAAGGGCCTATTTGCAAGGAGAGAGGCCTAGGTTTACCGTTGTGCTAGGGTTACCCTTGCAAGCGGGTTAAAGTTTAATAGCTCTGGTTTACAAGCTTATACTACTACATGAGAAATTTCTGCAATTTGATTGGCTTAGAGCGGTGGTATTTCTGCTTAATTTGAAACACCTACATGTGAAAATTACAAACCTTTTGCGGGTAGTAGTATAAACAAATAATAGCATGATTTGTACTTGATATTTGGCATAAATACCACTTGTGATATTTCATAATTGTCTCAAATTTCACTCGCCTAACGGCTCGTAAAATTACGTATAACAATTTTGAAATATCACTCGTGGTATTTGTGCCAAATACCACTACAAATCATGCTGTTACCTATACTTATACCATTACATGAGAAATTTCTGCAATTTGATTGACTTAGAGCAGTGGTATTTCAGCTTATTTTGAAATACCTACATGTGAGTTTGAACACATGAAAATAAAATTGGTGTAGGAGACTAGGTAGTACACATACATGATTCTTAAAATTAGACAAAAGTGGAGCTATTTACTGAGGAGAAGTGACCGATGTTTCACCAGAAACCTACTCGAAATCATCGAGTGGATCAACTCCTTCATAAAACGTTTGACTGGAAATGTAGACGGTGCTTCAGAGATCAAAATTCCGTCAAACCAATAACCATAGGAAATCGATGCACAGGAAACAGAGTGATTTTTATCGATTGATAACAGAAATCGGTAAAATCGATGAAATAAATTGCTGTGTCAAATCGATATTATCGATTTTTCCTGATTTTAACGATTTATAAAAGATCCGCCATTGTTGTTTTTTGGCATAAGTTGGATGCTACGAGTAACAACTGATCAAAAAAACAAGAAAATGAGAAATGTGAAACCTATTACAAACACAGTTTTCTCTCAAAAACCCCTCATTTTGTACATAATAACAGAAACGGTGCCGTTTAATTACATTCAGATTCCAGAGAAGCATCACGAGAAATACAGACAACCCATCGAATCTAAATTCAGGCTAAACGATTTGGCTAGATAGACTTTCACCATTTTCTGTTATCAATCAATAAAAACCACCTAACGATTTTTTTATCGATTTCGATTTTTATCTATTGACTACTCCGGGATGTAACTCAGTACACCCGGAACTACACCGACGATATTTTAAGAAGGTGGCAGATCTAAATATCGTGAAAAACTAGGCGCCTACAAACCTGGATATCAGAAAAAGATTCTTAAAAACCTGGTGTAAAGAAAAGATGACTTTTTTGAAATGATTCTTTTAAAAACTGATAATTGTTTGATCCTTCGACTCTCAACTGCAACTAAATTGTCAACAAATTTACTTTTGGCATGTATTCAGTTTTCTTTTTTTGATGAACACATGTATCTTCCGATATAAATCAGTGAAATCGGTAAAAATCAAGATAAACCGATAAACGAAACGAATGTGTGATCGATTTCTATCGATTGATCGATACAATCGATATCAATCAAATAAGATTTACCAATTTTTATCGATTGACTACTCCGGGTACAAGAGTCCAGAGTCGTGTTGGTCTGTCAACAACTTTTCAACTGTCAGAAGAAAACAAGCTAAATTATGCAAATGTATACCGGAATACGGTTAAGGACGGCGATTCACAGACGTACTCTCACCGACATTTTTTTGCGGGAGGTTGGAAGGGGCGTCTGTACACGATGGGCGGAGACACAGAAATCACTCAATCACGCACGAATTTAATAGTACAGATACAAACAAAAAATAAAAACTCTGGGCCACATTGAGAACAACTGTAAGGTCTAGGATGCTAAGTCACTAAACCTTGTTCTAGTAAGTAATTTGCCCAGTTCTCTACTTCTCCCAAGTTGGTTTTTGAAGCTCCCGGTAAAGCTTTGCGTTCTCGAAGCTTCGCGGCTTACTTGCCCCCTCGCCAATGAGACTATGAGATGAACTTGTGCGTGAAATTCTCAAAGTTCCTGTTTCGTCGGACGGGTCTTCTTCTTCCTTATCCGAAATTTAGTTCAAAAGGCATATGTTGGCACAGACTCTACGAAAAATGTTTTATGGATCACGCAACGCCCTCTGGGTTGCTAGGTTGATAACTGATAATGTTCAGTGCTTCCTTGAGGCAGGCCAGTTAATTATCAGACATTTTAAACTTGAAGAAAATTCTGCTCCGCAGAAAAAAATTCAATCATTCTCATTCCTCCGCGGTCAAAAGATCATAATTGATTTCTATCAGCTTAAAAATTGCTGATCCGGGTACGTCATAGTCTGCTACACAGCCGTTTTTAGGAGCGTTGCGTGACGACTCTAAAAACGGCTGTGTAGCAGACTAGGTACGTCAAAAAATTGTTTTCATTTGGGAGAGTTGTGGTCCTCCTCCTCATCATACGTTAGTGATCAAGCTCTATTACTGTGTTTAAAGACTGCTCAATACCCATTTTTCCTCCTTCAGATTACAACTGAATATCAAAATATAGGGACTGATCCTAGTAAAATAAACAATGACATCATACCCAGATGAGGACATGACAAACATAATTTTAAATAAACTATAACAAGATCCATCTAAAATAGCAAAAACCTTTCAAACCGATTAAACTACCAAAATATCACATGAACTTATCTTAATGAGATTCCCCCGCGTTTATTAATGAGATAAAGACAAAAGGTTATGACGTCATCGGTGTTATTACTGCAATACTGTATGTCCTTCTATGGTCCTGCAAATAAAGCTTGTTGTTGTTGTTGTATTCCACATAATTTAAGTAAATCCACAGGTTAATTCCTATACCACTACTGGCTCGTTACAAACCGGGAACAGTTTTTTTTTTTGTAGTGGTTACGTCAAGGTGCTTTAACGTAAACGTTCCTGCAAGTTTCCACATCCTGGATAATTTTATCTATTTTACATTAAATTTAAGAGCGTGAATACTAACCAAAATCAGCAACAGACAGAAAGGTTTGAATTCTTCTTGATTCCAGGACAGACCTTGGATAATCAATGGTGTCATTTTAGTTCAACGGGCAGAATTGTATTAAGTTTTAAAATTCCAAGGGCCAAATATTTAAACGAAGTCTAACTTAAGCCGCCGTTTAACGAATCTTTGAACCTCCAGATCTCTCCTTTGGTGGGTTGTTTTAAGAAGATAAATGCTTTTCTAGTCTTCTCTATGTGCTTTCGTAAAACTGTTCACAATAAATGATGTGTAGATAAAATCGGCGGGCAAATTGAAAATGACTTAGAACGCGGTTTTTTAAACACTGGCTAAACTACGTTTAAATATTTGGGCCTATGTTCTTGCTTCTTGTTTACACAAGAAACAAAATCTAATGGGTTTCTGATAAGTGCAATAAAGTTAAATTCATATATTTTTAAGTTGCAGATTTAACATGAGAATTTCAAATTGTCAAGTCCTGTTCCTAGCAATTTTCATTTTCTTTTTATGTTTGTTACTTCTACAAGGTTGGTAAAAAAATTGGTCCCTTCCATAAGAAGTCATATTTTCTGTACTTTAATGAACACAGAAGATAAATAAGCTGCAAAGAACGTAATTTTTCCCTCGAGAATTCGGTTTTATTAACTTTGTTGATAAAGTAAATTGGTCTCCACCGAGAGATTGAGAAGCCCGTTACACCTGTGAAGCGCCGCCAGTCCTGCTTCGTCCGGGCAATTTGCTCTGACGTTGGGCTGTCCCTCGGAGCGTCAGCTTAGTCAGTTTCTCAGCGATGGCTAATTTACTTTATCAGCTGTCCCCCCCTTTTCCCCACTACCAACACCACCAACACAGCATCGCGGTTTCTGTAAAAATTAACCTTTTTAAAGACCCTTTCTTCTTCCTTGCCGTCCTTAAAACCATTTGTAGAACTCTCAAAGGCAAAACAAAGAAAGTAATCATTGAATGGTACGCAACTGGTTTGGAACACTGACCGAGTACAAGCCATACTTTCAGTGTTAATAGGACAATTTAATTGGAAAGTAGATTTCATGCCAAAGAAGCTGTGGAAAGGTCATGACCGGCGCAGCACGTGTAAATGTAAATGTAAATGTCGCGATTGAGAGGACAAACATACATGTCCTCTTTACATAGCTTTCTGCAGTGGGCTCGGACATCAGCATACTAAGGGCGCCGATGGCAGCCGCTATTATTGCGACAATAGCACAGCTGTGCTTCAAAATGAGTTCTTCTATCACTCGTGTTATTTAACTAGGGAACGAATTATCCTTTCAATAAACAAATCACCTATCACTGTGTTTTCTCATATTATTGTGTTATGATTATCCTCTTTTGATAGTGTTTATTTTACTTGTCTTAATACATTTTAGCTCCTTACCTGAGAATTATCAAACGAGAAGCATTTGCTTTTGTGGCTACAGATGACAAATATGCCGAGCGAGCCCTGGTAGCAGCTTTATCTTTGAAAAAAGTGCAAACAACTAAGCCAATGGTCCTTATCTGTACTCCGGGGGTAGTCTCTATTTCAAGGTGAGGTTTCTAGGATTAGCCTTCACTTGGAGGGGAAATTTGACTCTTCAGTTCATAGCGGTGAAAAACAGTAAGCTTCAGTCACGAAAAAACAATTGAGCTCAGTGAGAATCTTCACGTTTTTATCCCTATTACACGCGTCACATTGTGGTACGTTACATCTTGGAAGCATTGAAGCTGAAATCCGGGGGTTACTGCTGACAATTCTTGGTGGTATTGTGCTGCCCGGTACTCCAAATAAAAAAATGTAGTTCACAAACCCTTTTTCAGACCAAAAAAACAAGGGTCACAAACGCGACATACATCTTTGCACAGGAAGCAGAAATTATTTAGATTAGAACGTTAACAAAAATCCATTTCGAATTCGCATGTTACTCTTTGAAGCGACAAATACGTTCGAAACCCGTATCCGATTCCAGTTATTAAACAAATACATTTCATGTTGCCGTACGTCTGTTCAGTAACAGATCATAGATGACGTCAAAATATGTTAAAAACAAAGAAGTGGCACACGAGCCGCAGGCGAGTGTGTCACTGATGTTTTTACCACATTTTGACGTCCTCTGTGATCCATTACTAAACAGACCCAAGGCAACCTGGAATCTATTTGTTTTATACAATGATCAGAAACGAAAAACGACCGATACACATACCTGCCGCGTACTGCTTGACTTTTCGAGGATTTGTGCTAGTTTAGGAATTTTTTTAAGTCCTAAGCGCTACCTTTCGTCTCTGCTTTTTCTTTATTTTACTTGTATACAGTTTCTTCGAAACGTTTTTCAACGTCTTTTGTTGCACAAAGCAGAATACTGCCAAAAACATTTTGCAAAACAGCGAGTCTCTTGTGGCGATGACACACGATGGCAATCGTAGTGAAGATTTCTTGTGGTTTAGGCATTCTCAAATAGTCAAGAGCTTTTTTTGTCTCCGTTTCTCCATTTTTCTTCTTTGTAAATAGCTCCTGCTAAACTTTTTTCGAGGCTTTTACTTGCTTTAATCCGAAATAATCTGACAAACATTTTCAAAACCGCGCGCCATGTTGAACAACAACAACAACAACAACAACAAAAACAGGTTTCCCGTGACGACATCCTTGTATCTATACTCTAATAGATCATGGGCAACGACCAATCAAAGCGCGCGTCGCATTTACGTCATTGTATAAACAAATGTCTATATGCGCAAAAACTATACCCTTTGAGGCGGCACATACCTATATGGCTAATATAAGGGAGTAATTCCGCCCCCCCCCCCCCCCCCCCCCCCCCCCCAAAAAAAAAAAAAAAAAAATTTTTTTTTTTCCCCCTCTCAAAAAAAATTGTTTTTTTTAAGACAATGAAGATAAATCTGGCTACAAAAACCAACAACAAAAAAAACAGAAAAAACACTATTACAGCACACGTATAAAAAAAACATACAAAACTTATCGTTTATAAGACACTGGGCCCAACAAAAAAAAAGAGCCCGCCCCTTTTATCTCTTTTTTAAAAAAAATGTTTTAATGGCCAAAAAAATCACCCTTTGGGGCGCCCACCCCCTAATTGGCAAAAAAAAAGGAGAAATTCCCCCCCCCCCCCCCCCCCCACCAACGCTGAAAAAAAATTAAACTAATTTTTTTAATCCCAGGTTTAAAAATTTTGGTGTCTTTGACGAAATTGAGATTAGACCTGAGCTGAACATACCTCAAAATGAACAGAATCCAAACCTTTTATTGAGACCTTGGATTACAAAAACGTTTACAAAACTCAACATCTGGACTCTGACATCTTACACCAAGATAGTCTACCTGGACACTGATGTCTTGGTTCTGAAGAATATCGACGATCTATTTCAACGTGATGAGCTTTCAGCTGGGCCTGAAGATTTGTGGCCAGACGTCTTTAATAGTGGAGTTCTGGTGATAGAACCATCGATGGCTACATTTACGAGGCTAATAAAGGAAGCAAAGTCTAAACCAAGCTGGGATGGTATGATTTAAGCGTCATCGTTTCTTGACTAATCCCCTAGCAAACTTTAAAATGATTGGGGGACTTTACCTTGTGTAAGCTGATAACTCTCTCCAATTAAAATACCGTAAATGACTTATTAAACGCCCACTTCCAAATAAACGCCTCTTATCCATGATAAACACCCCCTCTAGGCTGTTAAAATTCTATTAGATGCCGCTCTCTAACAAACGCCCCCTGTCCAGTAGATTCCCCCTGCTCCAAAACACTAGGAATTAGCATTCAATTCATTCAATTCCTTGCTTGACTAATAAGGCTTTGCGTATTTCATCATTTTCAATGTCAAGTTTAAAGTAAGGATAGACTAACGATGGCAACACAATAATAATAATACAGTAACAATGGCTTAGGAATCAGACACAGTGGATGTTGGCCAGATTTGAAAGAGCGACATGGATCTCTAGACAGCTTAGTAGTATCAATTGATGGGGTGAATATTCCAATGTTTTAAAACTCTCTTGATATTTTCGCCGAAAGCAGATTAGTTTTGTTGAGCTTGTTACAGTTATGAGAATAGAGGCCTCTCTCTTTTCAAGGCTTCCTATCTATTAAATGCCCCCGCTTGGACCCCTAAAATTAAAAAGACGCCCCGGGAGTTTATTAGGTCATAAACCCGGTGAACTCATTTGTGAACACAGAAACGTATACAAGCGCAACAGTTCAACAAGCAGCCATGCGTAATTCATCCGGAAAACTACTTTTCAAAATCCCTCTCGTAGACTTGGGAGGGGAAATTCCCCAACAGGGGTATAGATGGTATAAAGTTTTCGCTACTCTACGAGGATCGAGAAATATCTACGGCCTTGTGTAGGTCTAGCCGCTCGGTTCGCGAGGCAGCCGCTCTTTTAGCGCAGTATTTTCAGTGGACAATACTATTTTGTATCTGATCATGTTATCTGGTTTAGCAAATTCGCAAGACAGACAAAGTGTTCGTAGCTGAGTTGAGAATTCGTCAAATGTTTGGCCCAAGGTTTTCGAGTGATCCCAGAACTGATATCTCGGTACCGCTCTCTCCAACGTAGTCCACATTAGATCATAGTCGTATCCTCACCTTCGAACCAATCTAAACTATCGTAAATCTTTTAACCTTCAGGTCCGAGCCAGTCTTGTACCAGTAAGCATTTTCATTCGTTGAGATGTTAACAAGGCTTCCTTTGAAGATGTAACCACGCTCTTTCTTAAAGGCTCTTAGTGCTTCCGGGCGATTTTCAAGGCGAGGGTTGAACTTCGGTCTTTCAAATTTCGTTATGTTTCAGTAAAAAATCCTGAGTTTTGAGCTGGGACAGCTGCGGCAGCTTCGGCGCCTTCCTCCGACTTGTTTTACCACAAAAGCAGAAGACAGAAATTATCGGATTTTCTCCTCTAGAGAGTCCCGAAAACACAGAGAAAATCCAAAGAATCAAACAGATTTTACCACGATCCAGTCGATTGTAGTTTTGGCACGAAGATGTTTGATCAGTATTTTCGGATCAGATTTCCCCAATCTCTCCACTTTAAGACTCCAAAAACGTCCCACAGCTGTCCTAGAGACTTCAAGCAGCAGTTTCGTGGCTCTTTGCATTCCTGGTACCATGTTACATAGACAACACAGCAGATGTTCACCAACGCAGCATTTAATATTCCGAACAACATGTCTCCCCTTTCCCTTTCCCTTTCCCTTCATGCAAAATGTCGAGATACCACAAGCATACCACCCTCTAACAGCAATTTGCTGGTAAGGAATGTAAAGTCAAAACCGGAGTATATAAAACTTCTTTTGTTTCTAGGTACCGATCAAGGATTGTTAAATGATGTTTATGGTAACTCTTGGCGCACTGTCCCGATTAGGCGCCTTCCTTATACTTACAATATGGCATATTCAACATTCAAAATTTATCGAAGTGCATATGACAGGTATGACATCAGATTGTAGGTGACTACTTTCTTTTCCCAGTAGGTATAGCATTTTGTAACGTCCTTTTCACGATGAACCAAACATGTCTCCTCCCTACTACTCTGAGTACCAGTGTTTTTTGTGTTTTTTTTTTCGCTTGCTGTGATTTATATCGTTGGAGATACTTCGGGGTCGGCTACAGGCCGATCCATCTTCGAAGTGGAAAGAAAAGAATTGACTAAAACCAGAAACTGCGCATGAAAGTTTTTGGCTCTAAGGGTAACTCCCCACCCCTTCCCTTCGGTAACTGAAACACAGTACCGTTACTTCTCGGTTTTTGTTCACAAGGCTCTTTCTTGGCTCTATAGTTACTCTCTCGCCCAGGGTGCAAATCAATTTTTCGTTTCTGGGATTTATAGCAGAGAGTTTAAGTATCAGGTAAAAGGCAAACAGCAAACGTTAGATTCAAAGTTGAGAATTTCTCAAAATAGAACATAAGCAATAAAAACAGCTCAAAACAATTCTTATGGATAAAATATTACGTGAAACTACTAATTTATGTGTTGAAATAATGGACAGTAAACGACAAGTAAAGGGGAAACTTGGTCACGTGGTACAAATTCGCGTTTGCCTTTAGACGTAAACGTAATGCTTAACCTCTCTAGTAACACTTACTTTTCACTTCATAAGTAAAGGTAAAGATCAGTCCTCATGAGATTCAAAATCGCTTGGAGTTTTTCCTGTCCCTTTCGTTGCCTTTAAATTGAAAGGGAACGTTTTTTATTTTTATATATTTGTTTTCTTCTAGATATAAGGATGAAGTTAAAGTTGTTCATTTTCTCGGAACACTAGAGAGAAAGCCTTGGGAATTCATATTTAATGAATCCACAAATCAACTGGAGCCCGAAGCAGATGTTTATGTAAAGAAGTGGTGGAAACTTTACCAATCGTTATCGAATGGCTAAACTGCAAAGGAGATAATATATATTCTAATTTTATTATTTCAGCTCTTTTAAACCTTTCGCCAGTCTAAGTTAAAGAAAATCTTAGGCGGAGAATTAAGATTTGATTACGACCATTGAGAACCAGGCTTGCGAGTTTTCAGTGAAAAACAACAACAAAATTAACAAACTTTGTACACCCTTGCACGGAGAAATACTTACGAGCTTTTATGGGCTTTTGTGATCCATCTTTTTTCGTACCACCACAGGGGAACGAGGCTGATGCATTATTCAAGGGCTAGTTCATCATTTCTCTGGTTTCTCCCTTTACTCTGAAGGAAAACAAATTTCTTGAAACTATGTGGAAAAAATTTTCGTCTTTTAAAAGCGTAGTAATTGGCGATGATCATGCGGATGCCAAAAGCTAAGGCGATCGAGTCACAAATCAGTTTGTAAAACTGTTCTTTGTTTGTTTTGCTAAATTAAAGCAATTTCAAAATGGTTTTTGAAATTTTCACAGAGGAAAAAACCTTTCTATGCATTACAGAGTATTCTCTCACTTTTCAATCTTGAAATCATTTTAACTTTGATAAATGAGATCAGGCCTAATTTTCACGGGTATTGGGATAAGGAATCTTAACCAGCTGAAACACATATATACACATTGGTGGAAGTAGGGACGAGTTAAAAGAAACTTAAGTCCGCTTAGTTCCCGTTAATTTCGGGACCCCGCTTAGTGTCCGCTTAATAGAGGGTGTCCGCTTAATTGGGGGTCCGCTTAATAGAGGTTTCACTGTAGTGTCAGGCCTCTTTGCTTTTGGCCGAGCGCAATCGCTTCAACACTGTGACTGACAACAACAAACATGGCGGGCTCACAGCAAATGGGGGATTGTGCCAATGTTCATGCTGCTGTCATTCCTCTCCAACTCTGGAAATATTCCTAACACATAGCTGTTCCTTGTATTTAAATGGGGAGAAGACTTAAAAATCGCTAATTTGTGTCCAAAATCGAATTGCTGGCAAGCTTTATAATATTTTTTATTCTGTCCAGAAATTTTAGGCAAATGGTAAACGACCCGTACCGTTTTTACTGAACGAAAACTCCTTTATAAAATTGGAAGCGAAAAGACCCTGGGGACGAGGTTGATAAATGGTATTAAATCAACCTTTGTAAACCTTTGTCGCTTCTGAGTCGTAGACGTTCCTCCTTCCGCAGCGGCGAGGACTAAGAGAGAGAACCTTGGGAACGAGGTTGGAAAAGCATCATGGGCAATCATGGGCTTGATTCCACTCCTCGTCGCCATTTTGGTTGTGAGTCGGGTAGGTTGCCTATCCTGACAGTGTTGGATAAAGCTCCCGGGTGTTAAATCGACTCCATTGAAAGAAAAAGATGCCTTTGAAAGTAAATCCAGCAATTAAGGTACGTAGAGAAATGGAAAATTATGAAATCAGACGTTTTAGTTACAGGGAATCTTGAGGCCGCAGCACTTTAAGCTGCCAAGGGCTTTTCCGCGAGAATCATGTTTTTGCTTAAAACAATTATTTAAGCTTACATTGAATGCATTTTATGGGCTGTATATTTGAACGTTATCTTCCTGTTTTCCTGTTTTTTGAGCATATAATTAGATTTGTTCAATTTCCAAGCTGATTTTAGTTAATCTTAGATATTGAACCACAGTCGAAACTACCGAGTGGGTTTTTCTCCAGGGCACACCATTCAACCCCTAAACCGTACAAATCTGGCGTCTTTGAAAAAAGGCTTCCAAAACCCTGGAGATTTGGACCTCAAACGTGGAGATTTCCAAAATATGCTTCATATAAGGAAGTGTGTAGGTACCCGGCAATATTTTGAAAACTGTACCCGTGAGTCAAGATTCTAAAGAATATGCTTAATGCAACCTCGGAGAATTTGTCCACAGTGAGACGAAACCTCTATTTAGAATTGCTTTGCGGTTCTGAACAAACACTAATATTCTGGTGAGGTTTCCTTGATAATTTCTGTGGATATTCATCAGGAGTTGACTCAGTGTGTCAGAACTTGAATATTTTCGAAGTGTCGAAAACATTGATATTTCACCATATACCCAAGCTCGACAGTCACTTCTACTTTTAACCTAAAGCAATATGTACAATTGCTTGAGATTCCTAGACAAATATCTTGTGTTCTAAGAGGAATTAAACAAGCTATTTCATGAAAATGGTCAAAATTTCTGACTGCTGGGTATCTAGTTTTTTGAAAACATTTCCCGCCTGCCAGGTATCTAGACACGGCAAACCAAAAAGGCAGAATAGTTTGGTCATGATGATGATGATGATGAACTTTATTTAAGTGTCTGGTCTTCTAGCTGGCCTACTAATACCACCAAACTAAGTATGTAATATAAGAAGAATATTGACAACGAATAAAATTCAAAATACTACCAACCTAACCACTTAATGTAAGAAGAATATTTGCAGATAATAAAATTTACAAAAATATATGCTTCCTAAAAATATTAATAAATTAAAAAGTTTTGACACATTTCATATTAAATAATACCAAGTAATTAAAAAATTCATAAAAAGTATTCACCATGAGATTTGGAAGCTAAATCGTGAAACCATGAGTTGACTGCCCAAACTGTGAGTTGGGCGATTCCGAACCATGAGAGTTAGAAAGCATGCCAGGGACATAATAACTATAACATGTTCATGACAGCAAGGTGTCTGAATTAACAAAGGGGGTGTTTTAAAATAATGTTGGAATATGCATCTTACATTGAATCAACATTGAACACTGTGATGGTATCAGTTGATTTCAATTTTATTTCAGTATTATGTATGACAGACTAGTGAACTGAATGTAACAGTTTTTTCTGTTTTACAGTTTTCAAGGTATGCTGCTTTACTGCTTGGCCTGGCCTATGGATATAAGAGAAATGGTAAATTTCTGTTTTATTGGTTAGCTATTACAGAGTAGTCAATCTCTGGGAACACTGTGAGGAGGTTGGGTACCTGAGTCTTTTTGTTTTGGGAAGTTGGCAAAACTTAATATTGAAACAGAAAAAATAAGGTATTCTTCTAAAGGAGCCACTAGTACTCATTATACCATTTGCTGTGCTATTATGAGAAATTCAGAGTCAAATTTTACCTGACTTAAAAAACTACAGCCAAACCAAGACATACATGTAACTTTGTCAACCTGGCCCCTGGGATGTGTAAAAATAAAGTGTTTGAAAGTTAAAGGTCCTTATGTTACATCAGTAACTCATAACAGTACACATTAGACTGACGGACCTGAGGCCAACAACAGCAGCGTGCTCATTTTGCCCCCTCTCTCTAAGGCCACACCTGGGAATGGAACTAAAAAACCTCGTGCAAAGAAAGCCTCACAGTAATGTAACTGACTGTGCTAATCCTTGCTCCAAAAAGCTCTTACATTATGTACCAGTTATTGCTGAGCAGTACCTGGTCCTATAAAGTAATTTTTCTACTTTTGTAGAATATCTAAAACCCATAGCAGCTCAAGAGAGGGAGGTTGAAGCTGCAAGAGCCAAAGAACGAGCAGAGTTAGAGGCCATCAGAAAAGCTGAGGCTGCAAAAGGTGTGAATGGTCAGAGGTTCTTACTTAAGTGCAACACGGACATAAAGTTGCTAATCCATTGTTGATTACTAGTCCCCCAAGCAAATGCTTAAGAATTCTCTCAGCTTTGCTTGTCAAGGTTTCCCTGTTCTGTTGATAGCTTCTGAAGACAACAAAATTAATACCAAGTCTGGAAAGAGTAAGGAGAAGGAGCTCTAAAAAAACAACAGTTTATTGTATAAGCTATGTCTTTTGACTTGCTTTACAATGTATGTTTACAGGCATTTCTTTGCTTCACTTTACAAATCATGAACTTTAAACAATCCGATTCAAAATAAATGTAAGCAAGCTTTTTCTTAGATGAAAGTCACTCCTAAAAGTACAATGGAGAGGTACCAGTAACTGTAAACATGTACCTTAGCAGGGTGCAAAGAAAGTCAGTTTTACAGCCTGCCATTTGGGCAAGGTGTAGTTAGCATGTACTAGCCCAAAAGTCCTTTCAACTAGCCCCAAAACCCTTTTTGATTTGCAGGATTGATTACAATCCTTCTGTAATTTGAATTTCCCAAAAACAAACACTTGCCCGTCCGGCAAGTTGAGAACAAAAATCACTAGCCCGATAACAAAATCCACTAGCCCCGGGTTATCGGACATGACTTTCTTTGCACACTGCTTAGCATGGTATGATGAGTCGGCTTTGTTTACATTATATACCTTTTGTTGTCATAATCGATGGTATGGCATAGTTGGATTACCACTTGCAGCCCTGTGGCAATGGCAATATTTTGTGCAGTGCACCACCTTGCACAGTAGGGTCAGTTCACAACCAAAAACTATATCAACAAACATTCTTACTATTTTTCCGTCTGTTCTTGTGCTGAAAAGGTGTTCTCTGTGAAGTAGGTGTTGTCTTCATGACCCTTTAGTCAGGTTTTTGAGTGTTTATAAGTATTAACTTGAGCAATTCTGTTTTCCTTTGCAGTACCATTGTTTTAGATGCATTGTGTATTGGTGAAGGTCTATCTATGATTGTCATCTCTTTCTTCCAATTAATATCTCCTCCCTGTGTAAAAATTGGATAGTCTTCCAAGTGGTGTTCCATTTATTTGTATGGAAGAGCAATTTTCATCATTTATCTGTACTGTACAATGCTTTAATAAAATTTTTACTTATTGAAGTCAGTGGTTATCATCATGTGGGGACATCCACTTTTTTTAACCAAGCGATTGACAAGTAGCCAGCCACCCTGCAAACTGTATGAATCATGGGACTGGGAAAGAGAGATTTTTTTTTCTTGCTCTTCCCATTCCCTTCTCATTTTACTCCTAAGTCCTGTTCTACACATTACTTTTTTTTGTCAGTAGATGCCTAGTTTTAGTAGTACATAATTGTACAGTCAATCCTCATTAACAGGAACACTGAGGGGGCATTTAGTAGGTTAAATTTAGCGAAAATGTAATGTGTCCGTATTGAGCGGGCGTTCATCAGAGGAAGCTGTCCATAATAATGTGTTTGTATTGAGCAGGTGTTCATAAAGTGGGGTTTGACTAAAGTTACAAGTACGTCAGACTTGCAAGATATAGTGACTGTGTATTTCACTATTAAGATGGAATCCACCAGAAAAATATTGAGTAATTTTAATTTTCAGTGGAGAAAAACCTTGTACCGGAATAATTTAAAGAATATTGCATTCTCTTTTACTTTTTTCAAGGCGTAAAGATGTAATAAATCATCTGTAGTAACACCAAAGAAAATTTGTAATGGAAGTCCGAGAAAGTGAATGACAAATTTCACAAGAATAGTGATTACACATGTAAAATTTCGAAAATTTCGTTTGTAAGATGTAATTTTGTCAAATTGGACATTTCTTTTCTCGGGCTCCCATGAGAAATTTTTTTTGGTGTTACTACAGAATCTGTAGTAACACCAAAAAAAATTTCTCATGGGAGCCCGAGAAAAGAAATGTCCAATTTGACAAAATTACATCTTACAAACGAAATTGATGATTTATTACATCTTTAGTCCTTGAAAACTGTAAGAAAGAATGCAATATGCCTTAAGTTATTCTGGTACAAGATTTTTGTCCACTAAAAATCAAAATTACTCCATGTCCTAGTGGATTCCGTCTTAATACTTTTCTAGCAAAACACTTGACAAATACATGTATTACAAAATCAATATTCAAGAGGGTAGAGCTTTGATTATTTGAGCCCATGATATTGAGACACAGTGGTGGGAGTTCAAACTGGTTTCCAGACGTATTGTTATTACTCACTTTGTACAAAACAAGGGCATGCACATTGATGTCTATCTTTCCTTCACTTATAATTATACATTGCATTCCCGGGGGGAGGGGGGTACTCTGCATATGAAAGGGGTGGGGATGCTCGTCAGAAATTTTGAATTAAACCCCTAAAGGAACTTTATTCATTAACTGCAATATTATTTAACAGGGTGCGAAAAAAAAAATTGTTATTTGGACAAGTGTGATAAAAGTAAAATCTGATATTGTCCTTGGAGATAATAGCCTTTTTCCATGTTCTACTTTAATCTGTCAGGGGGTTCTCTCTACTATGTACACAAAGCTCCTTCACAAAAGAACAATTTTTTTGTTGATATTATTTCCTGAAGCATTAACTTGTCCCCAAGCAAATATCATTTGTCTTGGGCAAGTGGACAGCATTTCTGTTGCACCCTGTACTTACATGTACCTTTACTACAAAGGGAAGTTTTATTTGCATGCATGATATTTTTATTACTGTAACTATAGATTTATTTGTATTTCTTCACTCTCAAAAGGAGACACCAGTGTAAGGTGAGCAACTCTGTGTGCACGAAGTGTTGTACAAAGTACATGATTAACAAAGCTCTGCCCATCTGTTGTAGTAATCATTGCTAGATGTGTTTATTACACTAGACAACACCTCTTGCACAGCATACCTCAAAAAAGAAAAACAAATTGGAGCCAAGTGACAAAAGACCTGTAGTGTAAAAGCACCCACGGGTAGATGCTCTTGGTAAGATGTCAAAACTAAAGGGGACCTTTGACTGATGTGAATTCAAAATAACAACTAGTATTCATCATTTTACAGTTCAGAATCAACTATTACTACTCTATAAAAAGCATGCAGATTGCAAATAAAATACTTGCTGTTGGTGCTCAGGCCAACCTACAGTATTTCCTCCTTTTTGTTAACCAACCAACAACACATCCTACAGTGTAACACAACACCCAAACTAAAAGCAGACTGCATAAATCAGTCTGAGGGCCTGGCAGTCTGCCTGAACAGATGTGGAGGATATCCGTTATAGGTTTGATAACCAGCTCTCTAACCTGGGTAAAAAGTAACCTCTTGACATGAACGTAGGAAAGCTGAATATTGCTTAATGTCAGTAAAAAGTTAACCTTTTAAAGTAGCAACAATTCACTGGTATGCTTCTTATTGGCTCTTTATTATTGTTTCTATGCAACAACATTAATGTAACAGCAACATGAAGTTGATCACAAGTAATCAGGATTGTAAGGACCCCATCCCCGGGGGGGGTACTTTAGGAATTTCTGGGTGGGGATGTACCGCTGGTACCCTGGAACCCTTAACCTATACCAGAGCTAGTTCAGGTGAATTTTGCTACCCTATACTAGAGTAAACTCCCCAAATCCCCCCTATCCTAGAGTAGCTGTTTTCCAGAAACTACTGAGGTCACTAGCATAGTCTAGCCAAAACAAGCTGAGTTGCGTAAATTTCAAATTGCCAATTTGATTTTTTTATATGTTTGAGTGGCAATTCCCCGTTTCCCTACTCCAGATAAAATCTTCAACCAACTGATCAGTTTCCTGAAAAATGATACCCTATTCTAGACCCAAACGCTCTGATTTATATACCCTATCCTAGAGTAAACTGCTTGAAAACCATACCCTTCACAGCGGCACATACCTATATAGCCCATATATGGCAGTGCCCCCCCCGGGACCCCATCTTGAGCGTTAATCAGTGCAGGGAAATGTCATTCTTTCCAAGAGGTGTTGGTTTATTACATGACAAACCACCTTTTGTGGAAAAATTATAGGATAATAAGATATATTTGGATCAGCAATTTACACTCACCAATGCCTTAAAATCATGGCTATTAATAGCTTACGTACAGACACACCCCTGCCCTCAGAAAAAATAATCGGAGAGGAAGACGTCTGTGAATCATCATCATTAATTGTGTTCTGGTAAACATTTGCATAAATTTTTTTTTTTTTCCTCTGACAGTTGAAAAGGTGTTGACAGACCAACACAAGTCTGGACTCTTGTACAGCATGTACATGTACACAGTTATTCTCTCGGATGTTCTCAACATTACTATTATCAATTATTATTCTTAACAAGTATATTATGCTTTGAGGATTTTAACACGTACATGTTCTTCCATATTTTTCAGCTCTTAAGGTCGGTCTGTTTCCTGTGCATCCATTTCCTGAGGTTTTTTGTTTGACAGAATTTTGATCTTGGAAGCACTGTTTACATTTCCAACCAAGCCTTTTATGCAGGAGTTGATCTATGCAATGATTTCGAGTACATGTAGGTTCTGTGTAAAGGATCATGACCAGCCATGACCAGCACGTGGTCCGAAAAACTAACTTCCACACAATGTTAACGCTGAAATCCAGGTATTTGATCGCTGATTAAGCGTTGAGTTCTGTACGCCCTTCTCTTTTATTTGCAACAGCCATGGGCAGCGAACAGAAACACCCCTAACCAGTGCAGCAAACATTGGTGGTCTTATTTCGAGAGAGCCAAAATACAAGTAAACGTCCATGTATATTAAAATGTGGGAAGCTGTCCATAAAGGCTGAGGTTTTCCCAAAGGAATCTTTTCTGAGATTCATTCACCAATCATAACACCAGAAATAACTTGTGTCATGGCATTAACATTACAACCAATCAGAGGCTTTCACCCACATTCTGGGGAAAGAGGAACATGTTTAATGACTGTGATTCACAAACGTCTCCCCAATTTTTTTCTGAGGGAA